CTTACTTTTGCAGATAGGGACCTTGTTACTCCATGTCCCATCCTTCAGGCACTCGATCTGGAAGGAGTCGCTTTCCAGGTCATCCTGTGCAGAAAGTGCCAACAAAAAACCCTCTATCAATATTCAAGGCAAGCAAATTCATCTTTCAATACAAAGGGAATTTCTTGGTGATTTAGTCAAGTTACATCCAGCTTTCCCTGGAAGAGGACTTTTAGCTAAAAACTGCAATAAAATCATAATGAAAATCTTGAAGAGTTTTCTTGTTGCCAGCCACTCAGTGGCATGCTGAAAGCAGAAGAACAGGAATAATTTATTGCTATTCTAGATGATGGGATGGGTAAGGAGGTAGATCTGCAAGAAGGATGGGGCTGGGAGAAGATCTGAGAGATACCCAACTCTATATCAGAAGTCACAGTAGGCTACTGGTTTGGAGGGAAGACAGCCACTCTGTGAATCACCCATACTCCCTATGGTTCTCAGCTGTTTCCTGGAGAAGGCCTGCCAAAATTCTGCCCTCCTTGACTCACTGAAGATGTACCAAAGCCCTGGAGGAGCTCACAGTCAGTGGAGGCTGGTCTCTGCAGGGCTGACTGTAAAGCTAAGCCAATGCCCAATCGGGTGGGGAGTGGGCAGAACCCTGGCAGCAACCCCAGGGCTTTTGCTGACTTTTTCTCTGGCAGAGGTGCTAAGCCTGACATTCTGAGAGCTTGCTGGCTCTAGAGGAATGCTGAGAGGGTGGTCCAGGAAAGTGCTATCTCCTCTCTTCCTCTGTGTCTTTGGAAAGGAAAGGTGGTGGCTATCAAAGGAGCCTTTTTCCTTGCCCCTGGGAAAGGGGTAAGGATGGTGTGCGGGTTGTGTTCACCCACCCAGAGATGCAATGGCTTTAAAAGGAAGGATCCTACCCATGTTCCCAGCTCCACACCGTTGCCCCATACCTTCAGCACTTTGTATCCAGGGTTGCAGCTGATGACAACCTGGTCTTTGAAAGTGTACTTGGCTTGAGAAGGCTCAATTTTCCCATTGATTGGTGGTTGCACCATTGGGCATGGGTTTCCTTTGAATAAAAAGCAAATGAAGCAAAAGAAAACTCAGATGAATAAATGGAGGAATCCCAGAGTCTCAGCTCTGTCACCTACCCCATGTAGCAGAGTCTGAGCATCCCTGCCCTGCTGTGGCTCTTAGCCTACACTGGCATGGCTCAGCCAGGCTCTTCTAGAAGGGACGAAGGCTTCAGGTTGTAATCCTCTGGCTTTGGGCATTACAAATCTGGGAGCTAAGAATAGTAGCCTGTGCAATTATCCTGACCAAAACTGCTCTGCTTTGCAATGTGGTCTTGTTTCAGGGCCCAGCTGGTGTAGGGGAAAAAATAGCACACTCTGGAGGGAGGGCTCTGTGTGTTTTATTCCTCTCTTGTGATTTCTGGAGTGGATCCTTTCTGAAAACTGGATCATGGACAACTAAACTCATAGTGTCTACCTGCATGGTTTATAAAGCCCTTCCCATTCTCAAACCCAGCAAGCAGAGGAAAGAAGCAGGAGTTACCAATTGCTGTGTATGACAGCTTCCAGCCCCTGTTCTCTCCGGAGTTGTCACTGTGGAAGAGGATCTGCACGCTATTGGTTTGAGTTTCAATGCGTCCTGGGGACTTCTCTCCACAAAATGGTCCAAACTCCTTTTGGCCAGCTTTGATCTGCCAAGGCAAAGATGAGTGGGTGGTTTGAGGAGTCTCTTGGATCGCTGAGGCTAAAGGATGGGCCTGCAGTGGGGTCAGCAGGGCTTAATCACAATGTGTTGGGGGTATGTGAACGGAAAAAAAAAAGCAGATGTGGTAACAGACATGGGGTTAATAGAGCACAGGGCTCCTGATGGCTCCATCACCCCTGTTTAGACTGGGATGATTTTGGTCCCATCACCAAGGCTCTGAGGAAACGAAAGGAGAGCAGGAGAGGAGGAGTGTGCAGAGTCCAGCTCACCTTGATGTAGTCATATGGACAGGTCACCTCCGGGTGATCTTCCACATCAAAGCTGTCCTCGAAGCTCAGGGTGATGAAGAAACCCTCCTCCAGCTCGATACGGTATAGGCAGTCTGAGCTCTTGGGGTAGGAGCTGGGGAAGTCAGCACTGGCAATCACCCCGCTCCTCTGGGTGTAGAGGTTGTCACTGCACTCCACTGAAACACAGCCATGGCTCTGTCAGGGCCCTCATAGTCACGTCCTGGTCTTGGCCACACTTGGGAGCCCTCCCAGTGGAGTGGGGTCCGTTGAGTGGGTCCATGGACCCCAAATATGAGTACATGCATGGAAAACCTCAGGCAGCCAACCTCCAAATATGCCTGTGGCACAGAGGTCCTGGGCTGAGAGGTAGTCCCAGCTAATCTGCACGATGCAGTTTCAGAGCATAGACTAAACCTCTGAATTTCTCTGACTTGAGCAGGTCTATAGAGCTTAGCTGAGGAGCACAGCCCCTGGGAGAAACAATCCCAGCCTACTGTTTATAGGGGAAGATATACCTCATCCCTCCTGGCAGCAGAAGAGGGCAATTTTGCCTGTTTGGTATGTCTGTTGCCTGCTCAGGGACCCTCCTGTGTGACCATCCCTGCATCTGAGCTGTGCCTGGGTGGTACCTTTGCAGGTCCTGTTGTCAGAGTGGAGGATGTAGCCAAATCTGCAGGAGCAGTAGTACCCGCCAATGTAGTTGTGGCAGTAGTGGTCACATGTCAGGTCCTCATCGCTTTTCTCCAGGCACTCATCCACATCTAGGATGGAGTTAACAAGGAAAGGGGGTGACCCTTCAGCCCTCCACATGTCATTCCTCATGGGGACATTTGCCGCAACACTGAGGAATTAGTTGTCCCACGTGGTGAGTCATGACCACCCAGCGAGTCCCATATGGCCCAAGGGCTGTACACAAGTTCTTCCCTTGCCAGGGTGCCCAAGGCTGACCTGGGATATAATCCTTGCAAGTTCATTACCCTACCCTAGCAAGCTGGTCCTGCAGGCTCAAACACTGCTTACCCACGGCTGTGTAATGGGCATCAAAGCCGGTGAAGCGTTCTTCATTGGAGAAGTCGGACCTAAAGGTGAGCCCCATGTAGGGCCCTGGGGACAGGATCACTTGCTGGCCAGGAGTCTGCTCTGTGTCCGTTGCCTCCCTGCCACAGAAGGTTGCCAGCTCCTGGTCCTCAGCTTCAATCTGTTAGCAGAAAGAAGGTGTGAGTCTGGAGAGCCTACTGTGCATTTCTGGGGGAGGTCAGGCTGGGCTTGGAATCATTCTCTGCACCTGGGAACTCATGTCTCTGTGTGTTGCCCAGGCTGACCCGTGCCAGGGCTCAGCAGTGCCTGATGGGCAGGCTGTCTGCCTGGCAGCCCACAATGGCCACAAGCTGAGGATGCAGCTCTGCCCCTTTGCATGCCCCATCCTGCTCAGCCTTCTCAGGGCATCTTTGAAACAACAATTTCCAGCCATTCCCACTGCATTCGCCTCATCTTCTGCAGCCAAGCATGATCCCAGGGATGCTCAGAGCATGGCAGGTCAGACTCCCACTGCTCCATCTCTCTGAGATGCTGTTAGTGCAGCAAAGCAATTAAATGGTTTCTGTGAAATGGATGCAGGGGCTGAGGTCTGCCCACTCTGCCTGGGGTTGCTCTCTGAAGCAGATGCTGAGAGCACATAGCATCCAGGATGTAGGGAGGATCTGGGAGGGTGGTAAGGGGAGGAAGCACGGAGGAAACCTCTTGGGAGGTGGGGTGAGGACATGGACAGGCAGTGCAGAAGAAGGGATGTAGAAATCAGCCCTGGGCTGTGTCATTTCCACTCAAGAGTACCTGAAATCCTTCCCCTTGCTTCTTCTCATGGCCCAAACACTGATCCAGGCACAGCATCTGTGTGAAGGCTGTGCTGCTGGAAGGGTGTTGGGAGCCCAGGGGAGCCCTTGCCCATCAGTTTTACAAGGGTTCAAAGCAGCAGCTGTAATTTGGATGGTGTTTCTGTCCCCTGAGCTGACTTTGGACAAACTTGGACCTGTCCCTGATGCCCAAGGTCCCTGTCTGGCTTCAGACCAGTAGTGCCAGACACTGTTTGAACTCTGACCACATGCCCAGGTGGCTACAGAAGGGGAGTGACGAGCCAGCATGTCCTGTTATCATGTCAGCAGAGTCACCAGTCTCTGTGTGCATCCCTTTCAAACCCTTTCAAAGCCTTACCTGTGCCTTAAAGCACTGCAATACCTGCAGAGAAACCTCCAATTTTTCCTGGAAACCTCCTCCTTTCCTTTTCCTTGCTTTGTTCTCCAGTATTGACTCTTCTCCCACACATCCCATCCCCAGTCCCTGTCTCATCCATGACCTCTCCCAGGCGGTTCCCAGCACCGTGCCTGCTTTCCCCCAGGAGATTTGAATATGAATAAGCCTCGGCTGAGGAATGCGATGAACACCACCAGCCCAACACTGCTCATGCCAAGCCACGGCTATTAAGGCCATGACGAAGTGTGCAGCCCCCCAGCACATGCCTGGGGAAAACAGTCATCTGCTCCAAGCCTACGGAGTCCTGGAGGTGTTGGAATGCTGTCTCCAGCTTGCATGGCCTCAGCAAAGTGAGACCCTTCTCCAACTCTATCCCTGTCTCCTGGAGACCCTTAGGATGTGCTGGCTGAGGAGGGTCTGGGGCTGAAAGGGAAATTTCCCAGGGCTGAACAAACAGGCGGAAACTCGTTCACACCAGGGAAAGCCAACATGGAAATGGCAACTCAGCATGCCTTGACATTGCCTCTAGATATTTTCCATCCTCTCATACAAGCTGGAGCTGGCCAGAAAAGAGAGAGACTTTCCAATGATAAATCTTGAGAATTTGGAGCAAAAAACATGCGCCATGCTTCGGGACAAAAACCCGACTGAATTTTTCTGTTTTTTGTGTAACAGCATTCTGGGGGGAAAAAAGAAAACAAGTAATTTGGGCTCCATCTGGTTTCAATCCCTTTGAAATATACTGTGGTGCTTTAGAATCTGAAAGATTGTTTTGAAATGAAATAGCATTTCAGACTGAAAAACTGGAGAGCCATCACCAAAAGCAAGGCAAAAAAGCATTTCAGCCCCGACACGCAGACTTAGCTGTGTGAGCATGCAGGATGCAGTCTTTTCCACAGAAAATTCTTTCTCTTAAGGAAATCTGTGGGAAGGAGGAATTTCCAGCCAGCTGCTCTGTGCGGGGCTGGTGACTGTCACCTCTGCCAGGACACACAAGCCATGTTAGCTCCCATCCCTCATTTTCAGCCTTGGACAACGCAGGACCTGCAGCACAGCATCACTGAGATGCAGGAAAATCTCCTCAGTGCCCTGTGTCTCAGCCTGAGAATGCTCTGGCCATGGGGCCAGCCCCAACACTGCTCCCAGCATCCCTGGATACAGCCCCAGAGCAGCAGGATGGGGCCCTGGAGCGCTGTGCTCTCCTCACTGAAGGTATCCACAGCCCCTTATCTGTGACGGGTCCCATGCCCTGAGCCACAGGGAGCAGAGGCAGCTCTCCAGCAGTAAACTAAACAGAGAGGTCATCATCCCTGGTTAATATTTGCTGCTTCTGCAGGGGACTGTATACTTTTTTGCAGATCATTTACATCCAGCGAGCAGGCTGGTAATTAAATCCTGGTTGTTTGTTTGGAGTTTCTCCCTCTCGGGTCACGATGTCGACGTTTTCACTAGAGAAGATGTGTCCCTGAGGGAAATATCAATTGCCACAGAGAAATTCCCTATAAAAATACGCTGAAAGAATCCTCCTTTGAAAAATAAAATAAAGCGACACTCTCGTGCCTTAAATTTACCCTTGCCAATGCCTCCTGCTTCTGCTTGTGTCCTCATTCCCTCGTTAAGAATTTTGCCCCTCTGGATGGAGGCAGATGAGAGTCCTTCTCCAGCTGTGGCTCTGCCCCTCTGCATTTTGAGTGGTGCTGTGGCTAAAAGAAATCATGTCCCAAGCTGTGGGCTCCCCTCTGCCCCATACTGATTTTCCTCTTTGGGGCAGGAGCTGGGATGCCCTGGCTCAGCGGGAAAGAAAGGCTGCCCCAGGGCATGGGCTGCTGGGGATGGTGGAGCATCAATGCTCTGGAGATGCCTCCTGCAGCCAGTGGGTTAATGAAATGCCACGGACACCAAGGGGAATTTGGCTCGGCAGTTTGGTGTCTGCTGCTGGAGAGGAGCAGGCAGCAATACGGAAACACAGCCGCCCCCTACCCCCTCCAGCCCTCTAGGAATGCACTAATTGGACTGACGAAGGCCAAACATACCACTTGTAATATATATAAATGGCTCATTAGGCAGAGAAATAGCAGCACTGGGCTGAAGACACTGGGAACATGACATGGGGAGGAGACACTCAGAGCCAGGGAAGGGCATTAAGTAGCCCCTGCCGAGCTGCCCTGAAGTCAGTGTGGCAAGAAGGCAACACCCAGATTAACGGGACTTTTTTCACAATGCTGCTGCTGACTGTTGGGAATGAGGCAGGGATGGGACAGCCCCTGCAAGAGCCTTCATCTAGGTTTCCTGGAGATCCTCTCCCCAGCATGCATCTATCCTCTCCCAGAGATACATCAAGGGGTCCTTCCATTTGAAAACATGAAATTGCCCTGAATTTCCATGGGAACACATGTGACAGCCCTGCCATGGGGAAAGAGGAGGATGGCTGGCTTCCTGTGCCATGGACTTGGTGTCCAGACACTGCATCCCCTCCCACATGGCTGCTGCACCCACATGCCCTATTTCTGGACTAGGCCTGTCTCCTGGAGGGGCTGGGAGTGAAAACACCCAGGTGGGATACCAGCAGCAGGAGCTGCTGTCTTGCTTTCATGCGTGGTCTTCCTCCTTCCCCTGCACTGGGTGTGACTGTGGTGCCCAGCAGTGAGGGGGTGCCCAGTGCCACCACACTCCTCTGCACAGAGCCAGTGGGATGGGGAAGGCAAGCAGCAGAACCCTGGGCTCTCCCTCCTCCTGGTTGCCTCTAGGGATTTGCAGTTCTCCTTTTGGGACCCCACAGTCCCAGGGCACAGATTACCTCCTGGATGGGGCTGACAGGACCAAAAGAGGATACTCTTCTCCTGCACCCTCAGTTCATGCGAAACCTTGATTTGTGCTTTTACATCCTCCTTTGAGCAGAGGAAGGTATCGATGGGCCCCATGTAACCTTCTCACAGCTCCAGGCTGGGCATGCACTGACCTGAAAGCAGCACCAAGTTCATTCCCTGGCCCTGCATGTCTTATGCCAATGCTGCATCAAGGGGGTGTACCCCACTTTCTCTTCACTCAAGATGCTAGTCCCAGCTGGCTGCTGAACTCTCAGGGGGCTGATTTCATCCAGGGCTTGACTGAATGATGTGCAAAACCTCGTGGACAGGACCCCAGTCTCAGACCCTAATAAACTTTGGATTTTACTCCTGAAGCCCCCTCAGGAGTCAGGATTTCACTGTCCATCTCCTTGCCTCTGCCACAGTGCTTCTCAGTGACACTACGCAGGTCACTTAACCTGATTTCCTGGTCATGACTGTGACTTTTGGGGTACCATGGGTCAGTGCTGAAACTTGTGTGCAGAACTGCTCATTGTTGGGTGACCCCAGAAAGAAGTTGGGCAAACCATGTTAAGACCCTCTACAAATGAGGAACACCCCCCCCCCCCCCCC